GAGAGGAGGAGAGGAGAGAGGAGAGAGGAGGAGAGGAGAGAGAGAGGAGAGAGGAGGAGAGGAGAGAAGAGAGAGGAGAGAGAGAGAGGAGAGAGGAGGAGAGGAGAGAGGAGGAGAGGAGAGAGGAGGAGAGGAGGAGAGGAGAGAGAGAGAGGAGAGAGGAGAGAGGAGGAGAGGAGAGAGAGAATAGAGGAGAGAGGAGAGAGGAGGAGAGGAGAGAGAGAGGAGGAGAGGAGAGAGGAGAGAGAGAGAGGAGGAGAGGAGAGAGGAGAGAGAGGAGGAGAGGAGGGAGGAGAGAGGAGGAGAGGAGAGAGGAGAGAGAGTGGAAAGAGAAGAGAGGAGAGAGAGAGAGGAGGAGGAGAGGAGGAGAGGAGAGAGGAGGGAGGAGAGAGGAGGAGAGGAGAGAGGAGAGAGAGTGGAAAGAGAAGAGAGGAGGGAGGAGAGAGAGAGGAGAGAGGAGGAGGAGAGGAGAGAGGAGGAGAGGAGAGAGGAGGAGAGGAGAGAGGAGGAGAGGAGAGAGGAGGAGAGAGAGGGGAGAGGAGAGAGGAGAGAGAGAGAGAGGAGAGAGGAGAGATTAGGAGAGGAGAGAGGAGGAGAGAGGAGAGAGGAGGAGAGGAGAGAGGAGAGAGGAGGAGAGAGAGGGGAGAGGGGAGAGGAGAGAGGAGGAGAGAGAGGGGAGAGGGGAGAGGGGAGAGAGAGAGAGAGAGAGAGAGAGACAGAGAGACAGAGAGACAGAGAGACAGAGAGAGAGAGAGAGAGACAGAGAAAGAGAGAAAGAGAGAAAGAGAGAGAGACAGAGAGAGAGACAGAGAGAAAGAGAAAGAGAGAGAATGAATACACCAGACCTGGAGCTCACAGAGCTTCAACCACCTGCTTCGGCCTCCTGAGTGCTAGGTTTAAAGGCATGTGGCACCACACCCAGCTGAGACCAAAGCCATTTTTATAGAAACGAAACTGACTAACTGTTATGATTCCAGGATATAACATGCTGTTCAAATGTGAATAAGCTTAATTATAATCTTAATTTTATGGTAAAATTTAAGATTGAATTTTGAATCTCAACTATAGGAAATCTAAGAGATTGCTTCTCCCACCTTTGTGTATTTATGATTTTAATTTTTTTCTAACTTCTGTTCATTTGAAAGTAAGAGATAGCAATAAAATGCAAATCTTTAGCGAGATGGCACAGTGGGTAAAGGGGGCTGGTAGTCAAGCCTGATTATCTGAGTTCAGTCTCCAGCTCCCACATTATCGAAGGAAAACTGACTCCTGCACGTTATCCTTTGACTTCCACATGCTTCCTGTAACAGCAAATAAACAAATAACTGTCACAAAAACAGTTTTAAAAATTCTTTAGTCCTTTTTGGTCCTGCTATAGGGTTTATACAAGTTTTTCTTCTAGAAAAGGTTAAGTATACAACAAAGTTTTTACATTGTATGAGTTGCATTTGTTTACATTATTCCATTATTAGATCCAAAGTTAGCAAAAAAGTTGCTTTGTATTTTAAGTAAATAGTCACTAATCTGATCTGTGTATTATCTTGTTTTTAAAGGGAAAAGATTAAGCGACAACACATTTTAGTAAATAGAATAAGATGTGGTGGACATAACTGAAAATCTATTGCAGGATCCATTGTTGATAGATTATGTGCTGTAGCCTCTTTTAAAAACATTGTGCAGACAATATTCCACATTTCCCAGCATAAGGAAAAGTCTTCTGAAGGGAGATGATCTACAACAGTGCTGACACAGAACTCAGCAATGATCATTATATTTTCTGGGCATGCGCAGTACCCAGAAACTACCTTTGCCAGGAGCACTCAAACGATTCAGTTCACCCTTGAGAAGTATGTCAGTAAGTCTGACCTATCATCTTACTCTTCCTGTCTCAGCAGACCCCTGCCTGTTTCTCCAGAGTGCTATGATTACAGCTGTGTGCTCACATGCAGCCCAGAACACCGCGTTGGGTGACATCTGTCTGTGCAGTTGTTGTCATTCTTTCAGACGTCTCTTAGAATACTTGGACTTAAAAAATAGCTTAACAAAAATAGCGAATATCGCCTTTTCACACTTAGTACTTTTCTTCTGTGTACTCAAAGATTTAGTAAGTTTTTAGAAATGCATCTATTTGTTTATCTATTTATTCATTTGTGTACTGTGGTGCTGGATGTCAAATCTAAAGCCTTGTATATTATAGCATGCATTTTTATCAGTGAGCTACATCCTCCATACCTGTATTTTTTTTAAAGAATTATTTATTTGTTTATATGTGAGTACACTGTTTCTGTCTTCAGACACACCAGACGAGGGCATTGTATCCCATTACAGATGCTTGTGAGCCACCATGTGGTTGCTGGGAATTGAACTCAGGGCCTCTGGAAGAGCAGTCAGTGCTCTTAGCTATCTCTCCAGTCCCCATACCTGTATTTTTATTTTCTGATTATTGCATGATTAAATACAAATCATGAACATTGTTAATACACGTGACATCTCACACAGTGTCTTCTTCAGTGGTTAATTCATTAGCCATCTCTTACTGAATTTATTAGAAGACTCAACGGAAGGATAAGTTGTGATTTATATCTGTAGAGGAAAGAATAAAAATAATACCAAGTCTTTTGTATTTTCAGGATGTAGGGATTTGTGTATTGAACTAAATTGTTTTCCCTTCCAGTTTGTCATTCCTTCTGAAGTGAAGCCAGGCTGCCATCAAGATCAGCCTCACACGGTGTCTATTCAGAGCTCCGAAATGATAGCCACCAACACCAGGCACTGTCCAAACTGCCGGCATTCTGATCTAGAAGCTTTGTTTCAAGACTTTAAAGATTGTGACTTTTTTAGCAAAACTTATACTAGATTCCCCAAATCTTGTGACAGTTTTAATCTTCTACATCCGATCTTCCAGAGACATGCCCATGAACAAGATACCAAAATGCATGAGGTTTATAAAGGGACTATTATCCCTAAATTGAATAAAAACACTCTTAAAATGTCTGCTGCCACCGATGTGTGGGCGGTGTACTTCTCCCAGTTTTGGATAGACTATGAAGGGATGAAAAGCGGGAAGGGGCGGCCAATAAGCTTTATAGACGCTTTTCCTCTGTCTATCTGGATTTGTCAGCCAACAAGATACGCAGAGTTACAGAAAGAGTTTCAGACTTGTGATCAAGTGACCCTTAATACCTCACAAAGTGAATCCAGTGATCTGGCTGGCCGAATGAAGAGGAAGAAACTCTTGAAGGAGTATTACAGTACAGAGTCTGAGCCTTTGACCAATGGTGGTCAGAGACCTTCATCGGACGCCTTTTTAAGATTTTCCTCTTCGTCTTCAGATGCGGATGTTCACATCCTGGTCCGAGTTCATAAACATGTCAGTATGCAGATCAATCACTACCAATATCTACTGCTGCTTTTCATACACGAGTCTCTCGTTCTGCTTTTGGATACCTTGCGGAAGGATGTAGAAGCTGTGACTGGCAGCCCTGCTACCCAGACTTCAGTTTGCGTTGGAGTTTTACTTCGGAGTGCGGAGCTTGCCCTGCTGCTTCATCCAGTGAATCACACGAGCACTCTGCGCTCTCCTGCTTCTGAGAGCGGGAGCCCGCTGCTTCCTGACTTCCTGCCAGCAGAAAATGGGGGTTTTTTATCTTCAAAGAGAAAACAAGGTGGTAGTGGTATACATCGAATTAGAAATGCTACTCTCAATCATATGTCAGACAACAGGTCCATGAGTGTTGACCTTAGCCATGCCCCTTTAAAGGATCCTGTGCTTTTTAAATCAGCCAGTGACACAAACCTGCAAAAAGGCACTTCTTTTCTAGACTATTTATCAGATAAACATTTAGGGAAAATCAGTGAAGATGAAAGTAGTGGACTTGCTTACAAGAGTGGCTCAGGAGAAATGACCTCAGAAGTGTGTCACACAAAGGATGTGGCTTGCACAGACTCAGATAGTGTCTTAAACTACAGAGGTGTCTCAACTATGCTTTCCCTGGATAACGGCAGCAACCAAAACACACCTTCAAATACTGTAACTGGTAAGGGAAATGAAACCATACACTCCATCTTCAGAGCTGAAGAGTTCCTTTCTGAAGCAGCTCCACTCTCTGAGAACCTGGAGAGTTGTAAAGAAGAGGCCCCCACAGCCAGAGCACTTAAACCCCAGCCATCTTTAAGGTAATGATGCAGTAGGAATAGAAGTGGTTTTAGTTTTGTTATTTCTTTGATTTGTTTGTTAGTTTTGTTTGGGAGCAGAAAACTTCACGACAAAATGTGGCATTGTTAGGATTAAAAGAGTATTTTCAGAATCTGAGAAAGCCCTTGAGCTTGTATGTTTTGGTATACTTTTTAGCACTTAGTAGTTTGGGGATGCTATGTGATATGCTAACAGCTACAGGCTGTCTTCCTTACCGGGCCTGTGGCTTGCTGTGGTCTGGCTGGGCTAGGACTCCAGTGCTCCTTTTGCCTCTGCCTCCCCAGTGCTGGGATTCCAGGGGCATTTCCTCTCCCCACTGCTACTAAGAGTGGGAGGTGAAGCCCTTTTCTATACCTGGGGTAATTTTCCATTAATTTTGTTTGCTAACAGTGTTAAATCTAAGGAACGTTGCCCACCCACCCCAGCTCCACTCTCTGTTTCCTACAAGAACATGAAGAGGAGCGCCTCCCAGATCTCCCTGGACACCCTTTCCCTGGACAGTATGGGGTTGGAAGAGCAGCTGGAGAGTGATGGAAGCGATAGTCACGTGCTGCTGGGGAAGGGTAAGTCAGCGCTTGGAGGAGTTCTCCCTAGATACAAGTGCTCTTACGAGAAGTTATACCCCACAGTGATGAATGACATCAGACAGACAAAATGACTCAGTTCTGTACGTTCAGCCCTGTCCTCCTAGCTGTGACTTCCTAGTGGCTGCTCTTTTACTAACGGGTCTCCTCATGCTTCTGTTCATTTGCATTGTTTTTCATCCCTTGAAAGATATTACTCCCCCAGTAAAAATTTGATCATATTATTTTGCAGTTTAATCTCAGGAACCTCTCATTACTTTAAGACTGTGAGATTTAGAATTCTCAATCCGTTTTGAAAATGTTCGTTATTACTTGACCTCAGTTTGAAAATTTTCCTACCTGTCCTTTTTCCTTCCTTTGGTTCTTTTTCAAGAAATTACATTCATCTGTGTGTTGGAATGTGTGGGGCAAGGCAGCACACATATTCCATGCATGAATGTAGAGGTCAGAGGGCAACCTGCAGGAGCTGCTTCTCTCCCTCCACTGTGTGGGTTCCAGGAGTCACACTCAAGTTATCAGCCATAGTGGCCTTTACCCTCTGAGGCACCTTGCTGTTATCAGGTCTCAGTTTACTGTGATGAGTGTTTTTCTGTTTCACTGTGTTATATTTGTGTCTGGAGAGCTGTTTTACTTCTGTACAGTTTAGCAAAAATCATCATAGACATCTTATCCCTGGACTATGAGAAAGACTCTGAAATGTTCTGTTAACATCATACACCACAGTTGCCACCACATACACCTTCTCTGGCGCCACATCTGGTGGATAACTTCCTGAACCTTCTGTACTGCCAAGGGTAGGGTAGAAGCCACTTGGTTACACGGTAGTAAACACAGTGCTGAGTGGGGCATATAGTTTTTGCGTCTTGGACTTCATCAGAGTTTTAGTTCTTTTATGGCATTTTACAGTATTAATCTGTGACAGACAGAAAAATTAATGATCTTATTCCTTTTCTCATAGATAGCTTGAGGGAGCTAGAAAATAATGGAGATCAGTCACAGGGCATTCAATTCGTGTAAGAGATGATTGGGCGTTGCTGTAGGATAGGGAGAAGAGAGAGGAGGGACTCAGGCTGGATCTGTGCGGTGTGTGGAGGGGGAGATGTGAGGCTGACAGACTTCCCCATTACAGCAGTGTCACCCAGCAGGAGAACGTTTGCTTGTCAGCTCATTCTGATTATCGCTGTCATTGTTAGTTTATTTCATTTAGGGCATTAGTATCTGACTTAGTTAGGGTTTCTGTTGCTGCAACAAAACATAACCAAAAGCAAGTTGGTGACTAACATTTTACTTGGCTCACACTTCCAGATGTAGATCATCGCTGGAGGAAGTCAGGGCAGGAACTCAAAATAGGGCAGGAACCTGTAGACAGAAGCTGATGCAGAGGCCATGGAGTGGTGCTGTTTACTGGCTTGCTTCTCATGGCTTGCTCAGCCTGCTTTTGTACAGAACCCAGGACCACCAGCCCAGGAATGGCATGACCCATAATGCCCTGGGCCCTCCCCTATCAATTGCTAATTAAGAACATGCTCTCCAGGCTGGTCCCCAGCCAGATCTGGTAGAGGCATTTGCTCAGTTGAGGTTTTTCTCCTCTAGATGACTGTAGTTTGTGTCAAGTTGACATAAATCTAGTCAGCACAGTATCTCCGGCATTTCACTATAGGAAGTCATTTCTCATTTGCTAAGGGGCCGTAATTTGACTCTGTTTACTTAGAGGTATTTAAACAGGCTTTGCTTGAAAGCACTAAAGGGTCTAGTCCATTTTTCGATAGATGTAAACATTGCTGGAACATGTATAAACAGATCTTAGTTTGTTAATTTACCTTTGTGTTATTTCAGCAATGAAAAGGAACTCAAATGCAAGTTGCCAGAGCCCAGCAGAGAGTGTGAACACCACAAATGTACAGGATTGTGGGGAAGCCTCGCCAGATGCTGTCAGCACCAACTCAGAGGGTACACAGGAGAACCGCGATGATTTGGTAACAGTCTAGAGCTCTGTGGGAAGAAATACCACCCGTCCTTTGTGCTTGGTGCATGCGTGTCTGAGGAACTTCATTTATAAGATGGCCACTCAGATACAGAATGATCTACTCACTGCTTCTGCTCTGGACAGTTCTTTCTCTTAGCCACCTGGCTATTCCTATGTTTTACTTTTAAGTCTGTTTGTTTGTATTGAAGAAGGGAGGGGAGTAGTCTAGTCTGTTCATTTTTTACTGTCTTCTCTCCCATTCATATTTTGACCAATATTTTAGTTTCTTTTGTGTAAACTTTTTAAAAGTTTAACAGCTCAGATGGCAGCCAGCCCTTACAGTAAGGGTCCTTCTACAAAGGAAACAGGATGCTAGTTTCTTTTAAACCTTGCCGACACAAGGGAAATTTTCTTTTCTTTTCTTTTTTGTTTTTTTTTTTTTTTTGTTTTTTGAGACAGGGTTTCTCTGTGTAGTCCTGGCTGTCCTGGAACTCACTCTGTAGACCAGGCTGGCCTCGAACTCAGAAATCCTCCTGCCTCTGCCTCCCAAGTGCTGGGATTAAAGGGAAATTTTCTGAAAAAAATGTAGTCGTACCCTACTTGTAGTGAACATCCATTCATATGGACATGTCATATTATTAGTCTTTGTAACCAAATATTTTCTCTTTACTGATTAAAAACAAAAGCCCCTGGAGATTTTCTACAAAGACTGAACATTCTTTGTCCAAAATTCTTGGTTCCAGAAGTAGTTTTGGACTTAAGAATTTTGTGGATTTGGAACTTTTTCATCATATGTGATATCTTGGACCTGGAACCCCCTTCTAAACCCAAAGTCGGTTATGTTTCATAGATTCCTTGCACACAGCCTCTAGGTAACGTTAGACAGGTTCTGAGAGGCTGGTGAAACCGCTTGGTGCTATACTCGTGGTATTGCCCTGTCCCGTGGAAAGTAGTCCATGGGACACTCAAGCAATAGAGGGCAATAGCCAGGCTCTGTGGGCCCCAAGGGTAGCTTGACTGATAAGTGAGAACTGTATTTGTTGAGGTTAATATTTCCTTATTATTTATTTAATTTTTTTTTTTAATTACACAAGGTACTAACTGTATTTATACAACCATTGACAGATGTCAGTTGTGGTGTTTAAAATCACTGGCGTTAATGGGGAAATTGACATCCGAGGAGAAGATACAGAAGTCTGTCTTCAGGTGAACCAGGTGACACCAAGTCAGTTAGGCAATGTCAGTCTGCGGCATTACCTTGGTAACCGGCCAATTGGTAAGGTTTTTCTTAAACCACGTTTCACACAGAATGCTTAAGTATGTTTAAATGTATTTTATGTTCTATACACAGCTCACTAATAGTCTTGTTCTCACTATGACTCAGCTCCCAGGAGACCATATTGAATACAATGTCAGTGACTTTTTTTTCCTATGTGCATAGAATTCTATACAATACATAATGTATAGAAAGTAATACATTTTGGCATAGTATCAGAAAGCATGCTGTCACTTCTTATCCTGGGAGGTGGAAGGAAACATAACCAAGCAGGGCTCACAGGGGCTCACACAGACCGGCGCAGCTATCCCAGCCTGCATGGGTCTGTGCTAGGCCTGCTGCATACTTGCTGTGGTTGTTTAGCTTGGGGTTTTTGTGGGAACCCTAACAGTGGAAGTTTGGATGTCTTTGACTCTTGCCTGCTCCAGACCCTTTTTTTCCTAATGGGATGCCTCACCCAGCCTTGATGTGAGGGTTTATGCCTAGTCTTACTGTGTCTTGTTATGCCGTGTTTGGTTGATATCCTTGGAAGGCCTGCTCTTTTCTGAAGGGGAGAGGGGAAGTAGGGAGGGATGGGAGGAGAGAGAGATGAGAAGCTGCAGTCAGGATGTGTTGTACGGGAGAAGAGTAAGTGACATTTTAAAAATGACTCCAGGCCGTTTTTAGTCTTTGTATCCAAAATACTTAATCTTGACTGATTGAAAACAGAAGCCACTGGAGATTGCCTTTACCTTCCTGTCCCTTATGTGGGGTCTCCTTGTGGGGTCTCCTTGCTGTTTACTGTGATGTTAGTTGGAATAAAATAAATAAGTATAATATTCCACTAGTTTCTATTCCTAGATAATTGATATCAGCCTTTCCTTTACATTGCATATAGTATAAGACTTCATTGCATATAGTATAAGACTTCTGTTGAAGTTTAAACATTTATTTTTATATGTTGGTGTTTACCTCCGTAAACCAACTCAAATTCTTACTTAGAACAAGGTCTTAACTAAATGCAATTACATACAAATTAGATATTCTTTACTATAGTTTCAGTTTTACGTGTTCTTCGGGAATGTTTCAATGGCATGTGTTCTATAGGCTTTCACATTGTTGAAGACCCTAGTTTAATGAGGGAGGTGCAGAGCACACGCGAGACTCACATCACCACAGTTCCTGTCTCCTTACAGAGACATAGCCGGGTACTCACGTGGGTCTTGAATCTCAAGTGTGTATCCTATCAGAGTTCATCATGAATTTCCCCTATTATGAAAAAAGAAAAACATATAGAAAAATTGCCAGTAGTGTATTTGAAAGTTGCAGAGAAAAAGTGAAATTATGATATTTATGATATATTTTATTTATAATGTAGAGTCATTTAAATTAGGAGTAAATATTAAAGCTGTTTTGTAGATTTCTTTAATATGCAGTGTCTGATATTTTTTACTATAATCTTAATGGCATACAATGTCCTTTTTTGGTAGTGTTAGTTACAAAGTTATGATTTTTCATGTTTATTTCTCAGGTTCTGACCCGAAAGCTATAATTCATCCTAAATCCTCTCCTGAGATTTCTCTGAGGTTTGAAAGTGGGCCAGGTGCTGTCGTACACTCTTTGCTTGCAGAAAAAAATGGATTTCTCCAATGCCACATAGAGAACTTTACCACTGAGTTTCTCGCGTCTTCCCTTTTGAATATTCAACACTTCCTGGAGGATGAAACTGTAGCAACAGTGATGCCCATGAAGATCCAAGTGTCTAACACGCAGATACACTTGAAAGTACGTTAGCAGCTCAGTTTTCATAAGTGTTCACACTACCCTTTCTGGACTTTGATTTGTGTCTAAACTATGTCCTCTGTCAGAATTTATGAAATCAAGTGACTAATATTAACAGTGAATGCTACAGAGATCCTTTTCAGAAAGGAAAAATAGTGCAGGCAATTTTTTTGACATAGTAACTAGAGGCATTTATATAAATCTATAACATATGTTTATTCAAGTTGACTGTTTCAATATTTTCATTCATTTTTATAAGAACATGCCAATATTTTCTCCTTACCTGTAGGATGACAGTCCCCGGGGTAGCACAGTGTCCCTCCAGCCAAGTCCCGTGACTGTGCATATTGATCATCTCGTGGTGGAGAGGAACGATGATGGCTCTTTCCACATCAGAGGTACCCTGAAAACGATGCCCGTGAGCACCCAGTGTGTCGGCGCAACACTGTCACGTGCTGTTGGTTCTGTCACTTACTGTTACTGTACATGGCTTTTCAGTAGTGACAATTGGGGAATGCTTTCGCCACATCAGTCTACAGGATCTGTGTGTAACCCTGCAGTAACTCATCAGTAGTTAGCTTCATACCTGGGCTGCGCATGTGTCTGGAATGAAAATAGGAAAGGCGTTTGTGGTTTTATGTTTTTTCCCCCCACCCTCTCTCTGTGTGCATGCATGTGCATGTGCGTGTGCGTGTGTGTGTGTACTTTATGCCTCAGTGAACATATGGACATCAGAGGGAAACTTTGGGTATCAGTTCATTCTCACCTTCCACCTTGTTTGAGGCAGAGTCTCTTTGTCCATTATCATGTGTACTTCAGGCTGCCTGGCCTGCAAGGCAGGAGCTCTCTGTTCTTCCCTGCCCCCCCCTCCCACCAGGAACACTTGGAGTACACAACTGTTCAACTGCTACGAAAAATAAAATTATGAGATACATAGGGAAATGGATGGAGATAGAAACAAATACCCTGTGTGAGGTAACGGGGGCCCAGGGAGACAAAGCCTGTGTGCATCTTCTGTATATGGATGTTAGCTTTTATGCTCTGGATGCAACTGTTTGATTGAGAATCACACAGAGGTTAGGTAGCTAGTCAGGGCCAGTTCTTCCCCTGGCTATAAAAGGATAAAGGAGAGCTGAAATGAGAGGGCTAATGGGGATGGGAGGGCAGTCTGGGGGAGGGGTACGGAGCGGAGATAACTAACACTAAAGGCTTCTGGGAAGTCAGGTGACCTAGTGTAGAAGGCTTCTAAAATATTTACACATAGAAAAGAATTTACATATAGTCACCATAGAATGAGAAAGACAGTACCCCAGCTATGCATAATGTATTAACCAAATAAATCTCCCAGAATGGGTTACATCTTGAGTTCTTGGCCAGTGGAGTTCCACAGTCTACCTAAACAATACAGCACAATACTAATATAATGTAACCAATTTGGTTACTGTCCACATTTTGAAGGTTAGATCTGAAGACACTGTATATTTGTGGCATAGACAGTGGAGAGTTTGAACTGACACTGTACTGGAAGCTTCACCCCTCCTAGCTGGCATCCATAGTGCCGGACAGTGCTGGGCACACATCTATCTAATCCAGCTGCAGACCCTGTGAGCTACAGTAACAACATCCTTGCACGATATGCCCATTGTTGCAGGAGTAACATTAATGGTATGGCAGTAACCAGTCACTTTCTAATTGGATTTAAAACCCATTGCATGAGATAGGCTGATACTGTTACTGAGGCCAAGAGCCTGAGAGCAGAGAGAGCATGGGCCCTAGGAGCAATCCCACTTCTGGTCTGGGGCGCTTAATGCCCTTTTCTGGCTTCCACAGGCACTGTACACACACAGGCGCACATGCAGGCAAGCCACTCGTGTATAAAATAAGAGTACAGTGAGTCTCAAATTTAAGTAGGTTTGAAGCCCAGTCACATTAGATTTTAGTGAAGTCTGCTTTACCTGTTTTCTTTTGTAACCCAGGCTAGCCTGGGACTTAAGAGTCTCCCATCTATCTGCCTCTCTAGGGTTGGGTTACAGACACTCACAGTTGTACCTGGCTCAAAAGATATGTTTTTTTAAATTGATTTTTTAAATTGAAGTATTGTTTTCTCTAAAAAGATTTTTTGGTAGTTCTGTGGGATGAACACAGGGCCTGTGCCCATTTTGAAGACATTTTAATGGAATTATTTCTAAATTTCATTTTAAGACTTTCTATAGGGTGGTAGGTACATAAATATTGTTTATTTTTTATGTTACTGTTTTTCTTTAATTCTACAACTTTGCTGAGCAGTTACTAGTTCCAATTGTTTATTTGTTTATTTAGATTTATTTATTTATGTAAAACAGTGTTTTGTGTGCATGGATATCTGCACACCAGAAGAGGGCATCAGGTCCCATAGGCACGTGTGAGCCACCGTGTGGATTCTGGGAATTTCGGAAGAGTGACAGTGTTCTTAAATGCTGAGCCTCCCCTCCAGCCCTAATTGCTTTTTTCCAACTCCTTCTGTATTTTTGTGTACAAGATCATATCACCTATAAGTGTCTTACTCCTTCCTTTCTGTTGAAGTCTCCTGATTTCCTTTCCCTGCCCAGGTGTGATGGCTAAGACCTTTTAGGGTAGGATTGAGGTTGTGGGAACAGACATCCTTGTCCTGTTCCTGATTCTGGCAGAGGAAATGTACCATTAAGTACCCTTTATCACCCCAAGAAAGTTCCCCTTCTGTTCCTAATTTATCTGTACCTTTATTACGGTAAGGTGTAGGATTTTTCAAGTGCCTTCTTTTTACTATTTTGGTTTTTCAGGGCAGTCTGTCTACATAGCCCTGGCTGTCCTTGAACTCGAATGTAGACCACGCTGTCCTAGATCTCTCAGATATCCACCTTCCTCTGCCTCCCAAGTGCTGGATTAAGGCCATGCGCCTCCATGCCCAGTCCTCAAATGCCTTTTCTACAGGCTTTGAAGTAGTCCCAAAGCTCCTAGTACTCTGCAGATGCAGACAGTTATTTCACTGTTTTTTTTTTTTTTTTAATGTAAGACATCCTGCATTCCATACTACTTGCTTAGGGTCAGTTTATATTTTTATATGTTGGTATATTCACTTTACTAATATTTTGTACAGGATAGTTATGTGTCTGTTCATACACATCTTGGTCTTATTTTTTAATTTCTTGGCATGGGATCTTTTGAAAGAGTAAGCTTTTGGTTTTACTGTATTTATTTCCCCATTTCTCTATCACAAACTACTATCCTCACACTAACAGTTACGTTCTTATTTTAAAATTAGTTCCTCATGATAGAACTCTAAAGATTGTCGGATGACTTGGAACTGTATCTGAGCATTTTATCTGTTTGTTCAGATTCTCACTTGTTTAATACTGGGACTGATTTCAAAGACCATGCCAGCAACGATTCAGTGGTGCGGCCCCAGGGGACGAGTGACGTGAGGAAAAAAAGCAGTGTCACCCAAGCCACCCAGACGAGCCCGGAGGTTCCTTCACCTTCACAGTCAGCTCCCTTTCCTGAGTGCTTGGTTGACATTACAAGGGAACAGGTAATGGGAAACTCAAGTTTACTTGTAGCACTTGGTAATTGCCGAAACACTGACAGTTAGAGCAGCTTTGGTGTATGTCAGTAGAGCACATTGGTGACTTGCCGTGTGTAAGCAGTAGATGCTGGGGTTACTAATGTGGAGCAAGATGAGGGAAACAACAACCTTTCTGTTTTCTTGAGGGTCTCTCAGTGTTTTTGTCCTTCCAGAATCTTACTCATTTTTCTTAAAAATTTCCTTAAAAAAGTGTGGATACTACATTTAGCTTAACATTGTATAACGTGTTTTTCATATCATTATATTTTCTTCAGGCTTATTTTAATGGCCGAATGATGTGATGTGGATGTATTAGCATTGCTGAACATCCTGTTTGACACTCATTCTTAACATTCAAGTTGCTTCTGCTTATTTGAAATGATACATAAAAGTGTTCTGCAGAGTTTTAACCTCTGCGATAGGGTGTTAGAAGGAACTCATTGGTCTGATCCAGGATTTGCTGGATGACAACTCTGACTGGGTATAGAAACTGAGTGCTATAATTGATCCGTGTAAATATAGACCATCCTTAGTTTTTATTGTCTCCTCATATGCAGTGGCTCAAGACGGCAAAATATCTGAATTAAGTCTTAGAAAGTTTTGACTGTCTGAAGGAAAATTCCTATTGAAGTTTTCGCAACATGAGTCTGAAGATGAGGAGAAAGTTGTTCTGGGCCAGATTGTCTCTTACCTATGAGCTAGTTGAGTCCTGGGACTAGTTAAGGTCACCTAAGAGAGTGGCTTAGGTAAAAGAAAGTGGGCAACCGTGAAATCTAATAGAAGGTGAAAACTGAAGGGGTCCCAGGAGCGGTGAAAGAGGATAGGGAGGCCGCAAGTTGAAAGAAGTGGTGTACGGCAGAAAGATGGAGGTCAGTGTGTCTGAAGACACAGTGGCCCAAGGGTAGTATGGCGACATAGTATCACATTAAATTCGGAACTGAGAAGTTAATTAGTATATTGAATTACTGGGTCAAAATGTAGGACCACTGTTTCTTGCATAGTAAGTGCTTTCCAATAGCTCCCGGAAGGAATTTTGAGCTCCAGTTGACCATCACCAGCACAGGGTGGTT